ATTTGAGTTGTCATTTGTTTCATTAGAACTATATAATGACAATACTAATAGGCTAATTAGTATCCTCAATTAAGTTGCGGCAGCAGTATGTTAAGTTCTTCACGCTAATAGTTTTGTGTGTCTGGATTCCAACTAGCAGCTCCCTTGAATGTTTATAATAAAAACCGCCATCTATAACAGAAATTATGATGAAATTATCAACATCTACAATTCAAAACCCAGACAACTATGACTTGTTTGGAACAGACATCAGTCATTCTAGGTAAGCTATTATGGGTAATTTGTTTAGTATGGCCCACCGTGGCATGGTTATTTGCGTTAAGCGTTAAGCAATGTGGCCAATCACAGACATATCTGTTGATTTCGAACACAATCAAAACGCCATTGTTTAGTGTTGAGTTCTGCACGCTCGCGAATCCTCTCATTATAACAAAGAATAGATTCATTAATTATAACAGAACTTTGTGAGATTGCCATGAACTGAAGGTAGTGACAGCTTTTTAGTGATTATAAAGGGAGCGCTTTTTGCATGCTTTCTAGGCTATAGTCTATATAATCCATTCATAATTTTTCATTCATAAGGGCTTATTTTTAGTGGTGCAACCTTAGTTTTAGAGGACCAACTGGTACAAGATACAAACTGTGCAGTTTCGCAAGTTCGCAAGATCCAAATCTGGAATGAATGTCTCGAATGTGTTTTGGACCAGTCCATCATATGTTCTTTCTTTCTTTCTTTTTTTTTTTTATTGAGCCGGTGATGTGAATTATACACTTTCTGTATCCGTCACTGCTTCTTGGACCAGTCCATCATATGTTCTTTCTTTCTTTCTTTCTTTCTTTCTTTTAATTGAGACGGGTGATGCGAATTATCCACTTTCTGTATCCGCCACTGGTTCTGATGAGGAAAAATGTGAACTGTAAGATATAAACTCAAAATTGCAAGAAGAAAAGTATCTCAAAATTATGAGATTAAAAAGTCACAATTGCTTTTTTTATATTCCTCGTCCATGACGGAAATAATCTTCCATACGATCCACACGCTGTGATTGTGCTTTCAGTCTGACAGCAAAAGTGGAAAAGACCAGCAAAAAGCAAAGTCTGGTAAGATCCAAAAACTCAGTTTTTCAGTTTGAGCTGAAAGTGATCTTACCATTCAAACATTTGCGTCAGATGTATGTATGTTTATGAATATTTGTTGATAAATGTCATGGGCTCACCTTGTTTCTCAGTCACAATCTCTGTGTGATTTCAGATTTTCCTGTAATAGTTGCGGTTTCTGTGGGTTTGCTCCTGCTGGCTCTGGTTATAGTGTTAATCTTATTCAAACTGAAACACAACAAACATGGTGAGACACAAACACACTACTGCACGTTTAGAAAATATGAGCTTGTCTCCCTCTGCTGGTCAAAAATACACACAGTTAAAATCATCTCTTATTTTCTGCATCTCAGATGTTGCTCTTGTTCACACAGGCTTCATTTCCTCAACCGACAGAAGACAGACAGGGGATCATGAAACGGTGAGTTTCAGAACTGTAATCTACATCTCAATATGTGAAATGTCTAAGCTGATACTCTGTGCTTCATGTTTTGGAGATTTCACTTCTTACAGACTCAAGAAGACATTCAAGACGCCAGAGACCATTCAGATCCTGAATCAAATCATCTCTATTCGACAGTCCAGTTACCCACAAACCCCTCTGATTCAGAGAATCCACTTTACTCCACAGTACAGTCACCCACAATCCCCTCTGATGGGCTCCTGTACGCTGCTGTCAGTTTCCAGAAGCATGAAGAGTCTTTCAGTGACGCTACAGTCAGATTCAGTAAAGAGGAGATTCACTGTGATTACGCATCTGTCAATCGCAACATCTCGCCAAATTAATATCACCACTGGATTTTTGTTTTTATATACAACTTGAATGGTGTCGGTCACTGAGAAAAATGACTGAATGAGTTATTGAGCAGTCAGCGACACCTACAGGTCAGTGTTGGGAAAAACCTGAAATGTTTCTCTGTGACTGAAGAAAACATCACCCCCTTACCCCTTGTTTACACTATACACGTCTGCGGCGTGTTACGGCTCCAACAAGGTTTTGTTTCGTCCTTCACGCAGTGCCAACACACACCAGGAGCATTTCAGAAGCTATGCAACTTGATTCACGAGACCACATGATTTGCCTGTCTGACATTGTTTTTCTTGATTTTTGGGGTTCTACCATGGTTAAGTTGGCTAAATGGTTATGTTTCGTCCAGTTTAATTGTGTTTATTGCTATGTCCTGCTTTGTTGTACTGTAGCCTGCATATAAAGTTAATACACTTAAAAATTCAGTTATGTGTGACAAGGATTTATAGTTGTGTTTTAGTCTGCACAGGATGTTTATTTTGTATTTGAACTGTACTGTTGGATGCGTTATCCGTCAAAAATAGACTAGGCGCCTATCTTTAGCGAAGCAGCGTGTAGAGCAACTTCTGGGACACTTCATAAGGGCTTTTTACACTGCATACGTCTGCAGTGTGTTACGGCTCCGACATGGCCACGGGAGCTGATCGCAGCCAGTCTTGTTAAAGCTTGTGTTTATACCAGCTGCGTCTGCGGCACATTTCTGAAGTTTTCGTGACATTATTTTGGTGGTTGAAAGAATGTTAGTGTATGGATGTCAAATGGCCCTAAAGTTTTTGACGTCAGTTTGATTTGGATTTTTGACCTGTTTTTTGACACCAGTGTTTGATGTCAATTTAATGTCTTTTCAACATCAAGTTGCCCGCTGGGTAATAAACTTCAGATTCAATAAGAATTTGTGAATTGTGTTTATGATACTTCTTTTATGAATATATAATTTTATTTTGTGCATGTAAAATGCTTTTTGTGAATATACATATAATTGTTATCCTTCGCATGTGAATTGTTTCTTGGTGCATGTGAATTAGGTTCGATGAATGTAAAATTGGCTGTGCATGTCTGCATCATGTCTTTTGCATGAATTATTACTGAGACTAATCTCGCTCCATATGAGCTGGATAATCCAGTTAAAGGCAGGGTATGTGATTTTTCAAAAACACTTTAGAAA